ATTTTTTTCCTTTTTGTGTATCTTCTCAAAGGAATACCTTTTTCTTCTACTATGGCTCTCTAGCAAAAGTGAATTTTGTAAATTTAATAAAACAGGGCACTTTTCAACACTATGATAAACATCCAAGAGACTCTTAAATAGTGTTCAGAACAATTCTGCTTAAGCAGAAGAAAAAACTCCTAGGAAGACTAATTTCCCCTCAGTCATATTTCCACTAACTTACTATGCAACATCCTGAATACATCATAGATATATTCTGTATATTCTCTAATTTTACATTTGTCTCAAGTAAAAATAATTCTCTTAAAAAAAAAATCCTAATTCTCCTGCCCAACTCTATGAACAGCTAACCCTCATTAAAAAAAGTCACTAAAGAAATAGCTCATATTGTGCTGGACTACAGCTAGATTTTCTATCTCAGCAGCAATCCATCTTAGCTCATACAAATATTTCCTTTTTATGGTGAATATATTTATATTTGGTGAATAATTCCAGAAAGTCAAAAACATCAGTGCAAGCTTAGCTTAATTCCCCAGTATCCAATTCAGTGACATTTAGGACTCAGAAGCAGTCTGTAGGCCCAAGGGTTTTTTTCAGTTTTTTTTTTCCACTCATGCAAAACTGAAGAAACCAGAAAAACACAGAAAATGCAATTCTAAATTATACTGACAATAGTGAAACCAGAATTTTTCAGTCAAAGTGCTTTTGCTTCTGCTGTTCCTATAAAGCTACACCCAGTACTACCTCTCATTACTCACTGTCTTCTTCAATAGTCCATCACCTCATGTGGTCAGCCTTCTGCCAAAGGCTATATCCCAAATAGGAACTGGCAGCCACCTTCCCAAGGCACAGCATAACAGCACCATAGGCCTCACAGTTCCTTTAACAAAAGGAAATCTTGAAAACAGAAAAGAAAGCCTTACAAATGCTCTAAAAAGGAGATATGATCAAATGAAATGCAATTAAAAAAAAAAAAAAGGAAAATATGGCAATTTAGTGACAATAAGGAAATGGACTAGTATGAAATGAGGTGCAGTGAAAAGGACAAAAACATGCCAAAAGTAACCTCACAGATGTTGCAATATCAGGGCAGAAAAACAGACATGAAGACAGAAGACTGAGGGGAAGATATGAATGAAATGGCATGGATAGTGAAAAAAATAAAAATCTTCACCAAAGGGAAAACCATCAAAAGGTATGGGAGGCCATGAAGTGCAAGGATATGGACCAAAGCATGCCAAATTCATCCTCATTGAAATCACAAGATTTCATTCCTGAAAGGAAGAATTTTCTTTCAGGAAAGGAAATGAAATCTTGAAAACAGAAAACAAAGCCTTACAAACTCTGGAAAGAAATTAAATGCAATTGAAAATAAAAAGAAAATTTGGAAATTTAGTGGCTACAATCAAATGGACTGGGATGAAACAAGTTTTGCAGTGGAAAAAGACCAAAGCATGCCAAAACTAACCTCACAGATGCTGTGAAATCAGGGGAAAAAACTAAATATGATAATAGAACATAGAAGGGAAGATATTAATGAGATGACATGAATACTTGAAAAACAAAATTTAAAAATATTTGTCAAAATTAAAATCATCAAAAGGCATGGGATGCCATGAAGTGAAGGGATATGGACCAAAGCTTACCAAATTGATCCTCATTGAAATCACAAGATTTCATTTCCTTTTCTGAAAGCATCTCAAATTGCCTCCTGTGTACACATATTGTGCTTAGAGCTCTTCTCAGAAAGAAGAACTTGGCCCTTGCAGCCCTAAGGGGAATTGACAGGTTCCTTAAGTAATATAACTAAAGACTTAGGAGTTGCAAGAGTTAAATTTTAAGTCATAAGTCCTACACAGATTCACTGCATTAAGGTATTTGACATCAAACACTTCATTTAATCATGGTGAATAACATGCTCCACACATTCTACACAAGCTCCCAGAGACATTTTTTTAAATGCCCAAGGCTGTTAGTGCTACACTAGAGTTAGAGATTACCTTTCCACCCCTTCTTCTTAACCTCTGTACCATGCTTAGACTTTCTGTGGTCTGGTAAGAGCTAGAAATTATACCAGTTCCAGTTGTATTCAGATTTTCATTTCACCACAAACTACATACTCAGCAGCACAAAGTCCCATAATTTACTGCTTGCAGCTGCAGTAATACTAAACAAACATTTCAATTATTTGACTACTCCAGAGCAATACCTGAAGATTATTATACCAATAATGTGAATTTTGTTTTTAATTTATATGCAACTGATATACTGGAAGCTAATTTTCAGGGAAAACAAATAGAATAATTTCCTATTTAATAATATTTATTTCTCACTTTAAATATATCATATTTTTTAGATGGATCCCTAATAAAAGTTGATTTTATTTCATTATTTTTACTCAAGGTATCCATTAAAACAACATGGAAATTGTCAGTTGCAATGTTTACGCCTAAGCATATTAATGAGAAGAACTTTAGCACACATTAAAAATTCCATTGGTTGTAGGGACTTGAAGAAGAGGAACCAGCCCCTTCTTGCTTCAACAGAAAATTAAGACTGTCCAAAAAAGAACAGGTAACAAAATGAGGAGAAGAATAACTAAGAAAAGAAACAGGAAAAAGAGGAAGGAAAGCAAGCAAGTACCCAGAACAGTAACAAAAATTTTACCTGGCAACAGTGAGAGAATTGCAGAGATTAAATAGAGGTGAAACAGAAAAAAATAGGCCTTAATCTGTCCAGTTCATTGTGAACTCAAAACTTTTTCCCCTTTCCCTTTCAAGATATTTTATTTTCTCCAACTCTTAAGGTCTCCTGTGCTGTTCTTTAGTCTAAAAAACCCAAGTGTTTTCTGTCTTTCCACATAATTAATTATTGCTACTCTCTTCTGCAGTATTTCCAAGTAGTCTTTTTTTTCTTTTTTTTCCCAAAAGTGAGATTGCCAAAACCCCTGGGAACACAGCTTCTTTGGCTCTCCCCTAAAACAGGATAAGCTCCTCCCTTAGAAATAACTCACACCTCTGACCTACTGAGTCTTGAAGAAAATGTGAAGGTGCGGCTCACTCTAAACACTAGATCCATTTTGCTCAGCATTACATGGACAAATATGTTATTCATTTCCTTGTTGGTAAGCCCTGCCTCCCACCTTGGGAGAGAGAAGGCAGGAAAGCACAGCCAAAGGACATTCTAAGGGATAAGGAGGTTGAAACCTTTCTCCCATTTTCTCTAGACTCTCTCACAGTTTTTTTCTGAAAGCTTCATTAATTGATTACTGAAATAAAGTCTATTTTTAAGTGCTTTCATCACATTATATGCCAGGTTTGAATATTTCATAGAACAAAAGGTTTTGACTATTTATTTACACCCTATTGTTCTTAAAGATTTGGGCACATGCAGACTGAAATGTAATCCTGTAAACTCAATCTGTTTTCTGTTGTACTGAAGATTAACTGTATTGCATTTTAATCACAGCAAGAAAACAGACAAAATTAAGAGTCTGTAAAAAAGATGGGCTTAATATTCTTTTATTCTTATCACTGTTTTAAAATATGTATCATCAGGAGATTGAATCCTACTCTGGGCACCATCTTCAGCACCTTTAACCAGCCAGACCAGATTCTTTATGGATAATTTTTCTTACTTCTATAGTGGAACTGCATTCCCCAGCCACCCTCAAAGGGCACTCAAGATACAGAGATAAAGTACGTACTTGGTACAATTACAATAAGTAAAATATCTACCACAGTCCCAACGAAAAAAAAAAGAGAAAGTAAAGGCATACCACTGTCAAGCCTGTTTTATGTGTTTCTTTGTGAAAATCTCCCAGCTGTTTCTAAGGACACCTTTACATATAACATGGGCTGACATGAAAAAGCTTATACTCAAATCAATACTGGTTTATCCAGAGAAAGCTTTAAATAATTAAAAGAGCTGCTAAGGTATTACAGCTACAAGAAAATGTATTTTTTTTATTCTTTCCTAAGTCTTTCTAAATTATAAGGAAAAAATCTCCATGCATGTTTTAATAAGTGCTCCCAAGTCTGTGACAGATACATTAAGGAAACCAAGAAAATTTGGAGTAATTTAATTCTGAGCTATTGTAACTGTACAACTACTGGAAAATATTACCCCTCTAAAATGGGCTCAATCAGGATAACAGTAGCCTATACCTTCCATTCAAGTTGCAGGAGAGGATACACAGAATGATTCTGCACCTCTATTTTTATGTTCCTCTATTTTATATTCCTTTTGTATGTGTGAAAAACCTTCATGTTTTATCAATGGTTTATTACAATAATAGTTATAAGCAGAAAAATATGGTACTAGCTATGAAAAATGAGATTACTGTCAGTTGGATAGTTAGGATTCTGTATAAGTCCTTGGATAGAGCAACAATACTGGATTTTTGATCAGCTCTTTGCAGGATTTTGCAAGTTCTAACTTGCATTAAAAGATCCTTATTTACAGAGTTCCACTAAGGCTACCTGATTATTTGGGTGATATATAAGGGCTATAAAGCATCTTTCTGTGCATGCCAGATACAAATATACAGATACTAGAGCAAGTGATGAGCTGTGCAATTTCAGCACAAGGATGAAAAAAAGGAACTAGACCAGATTCAATCTGAAAAGTAAATTATTAACACAAGCACTTTTGGTAGGTGAGTGTTTCATCCTGTGACTAGCTGAAGTCTGATTCCTAAAATCAACACAGCACAACAGAGGGTGTTGGGCTAGTGACTCTGTTTACTTACATTATAATCACACTTATTCAATGCATGGTTAATGACTAAGCACACAGTATATCTATAAAGCCCAAGGACACAAGGTACCAAGGTTTTGCTTCATTGTTACTTTGGAGCCTAATGTACTTGGTTTCAGTTTGATTGGATGGCTTCTCACAAATCCCCAAAACAGAACAAGGTTTTACTATAACTGTATTTACTTTTTTTAGTTAGGGAAGCTACTACTCCATCTCAACAGAACTTGAAGACTCATATCAAAATGTATTGTGGAGATTACGTAAGTATTTGTTCTCTGAAATCTTCCAAAATTGTCATTCCTCTTAAGTTGTCGTCATGTGTTGGTAGCCATTTCCCTTCACTGGTAGAAATTAATATAAGGTGAAGATAATTCATTTGTGATTTCAGTCTAACCTTGGTGTTACTTAGATATATCAAGTGTCTGAAACAAAGACTAAAATTTAAAGAATTATCAGTTCCTGTCTCATAATTCTAGACCTTTCAAGAAAAAGAAAAATCAACTTAAGCCCCCTTGTGAGATCCTATAGGTGTGTTTTCTATGTTGGCACTAAGTTGCTAAACAAGAAGCTAAATTACATACTATCCCCGTATTAAAGATAAAAATATGAGTTTTTCAGAAGATAGCTATTTCTGGCACTACTCTGGGGGGGTTATAATTTGACAAGACCATCTCTAGCTGCATAAAGTAAATAGCTTCATCATTTATAAAAATTTGTTTTGTTCATAGTGTGAAAAATATTTTAAAGTTAAAAAATGCTATCTATACAAGAGCCACAACACAGGAAGAGTTATGGCTTCGCTAGTGCTTTTTGAGGAAAAAAAGGGTTATAATGAAATTTTAAATCTTCATTCTAGAAACTGTTGGAGTTACTATTTCATGACAACAAAATATGACATTTCTCTTGGTACCTGGCATACTGATCATGTTCTCTAAGGATTCTTTCAATTATTACTGATATGAATAATGATTTGATCCTTTCAAAGGCTTTTTACATGTACATTCCCAAACTTACAAACCAATATGGATTTTTCTAAAAATTAAATATTTTTCCCTTTCTTATTTTAATATAATGTATAATTGACTCATTATTTCAATCTTTGCAGTAAAGTATTTCTTCTAATAAAATTATATATATAAAGCATATAGTTGCTTTTCTAAAGTTATTGCTATTGAATCAGGATTAGTAATATGTTTGGTTTTCCACAAATTAGGATCTTGCATCCCTTACTAGACAGTTAAGAACTTAAGAGATTTTCTTCCTAGTTTCTTTTTTCCCCCCTCTTTTTGTTACAGTGATTTTGGAATCTATTCCTGATAATTTTAGGACAACATAAAGAATATTATACCTTAAAAAGGTAGTAGATCAGTTTCTGTTGGAGAAGACAAGAAATACAGTTTCTTTTATTCTACTGTTTTATTGCAACCAATTATATTTAAATAATTGACACCGCATCTGCATATAATATGTTGCCTAAAATTAATGGTAGTCCCTTATAAAATAACTTACAGAGGAAGTGATTTTAAAGTCATTACAATTGGCAATTATTATATTTGCAATAACAATGTAGCAGTTTGATAGCATTATAAAGACAAATTAATAGATAAGACAATTTCTAACTGTGGCAGATGTTTACAATGGTATGAGGCTTAATATAATGTAACTATTATATATTGGCCTAATGAACTGCTTGAGCAGAGCGGACAAGTTTCTAATTCTGATACACTGAATTACATCAAAATACTTCAGAATAAATGGTTTTAATATCAACTCTTTATACCCTCTTCTAAACATAAAAAGGCACACTGATAAACCCTTGTTTTTTTTCATCATCACAGACACAAGAGATCAGAGAAGCAACTGTAGACAGTGGGGAGTATATCAGACCCAGGAAAGACAGGAAAATCTGATTACAGGCTTTCTCTGAAATGCATTGGGGTGGATTCCCAGGTTAGGTAAATTTTTACTGTTTAATCCAATTTCCATGTGTTATGAAATGGAAAGGGAGAGAAATTATGAATTAAATCACTGGATCCTAGGAACATACTTCCCTACTGAGGCATCCAGACAGAATGGGGACATGTAAGGCAGAGCTGCATGCAAACATTCTCCACTGAATGCTGATGGTATTTCAAGAGCAAGTTGGTCATGGAGCAGTGGCAGATTTCTTTGAAGAGACTCAGCAACAAAATAGCAGAAAAATCACTTTAGCAAGTCTCAGTCAAGAAAACAGGACTTATACAAGACTAAGTGGTGGGACCATAGCATTAATTTCTTCTCTACTCTTCTTAAACACTGTTCTAGATTGCAAAAAAGTCCTGGAAGTACACTTTGGACTTAGATATTTTTCAAAGAATTTCAGAACATTGAGTATACCATTAATTCAGAAGCACAATAGAAAAATCTGAAGTATTACTTTCAAAATGTGCTTTGTTCTTTAAAATTATCTTTATATTTTATGCTACCCATATCAGAAATTGCATACATTTTCTGTGAACAATCAGATAGGATGGAGTCCTTCAAGAGCAAGAAGTAGATGTACAAACTGTTGACAGCAGCAGTCCTGCTGCTGCAGACAGCAGCAGCAAACCAGCTAACAAACCAGCATCATCAAAAAACACCCTATAGTAAATACCACAGGTAAAACTATAAGAAATTAGATTATATCTATGACCTTTCTGAAATACATAAACAGAGAGAGACAGAAGGCTTTGGAGAATGAATTTTCTATGTTTAGAAGTATCCCTTCCACTACTGTATCACATATTATTGAAAATAAATGAAACACATACAAGAAACTCACAACAAACCGAAATACTCATGAAATTTTTATTTAATAATGTTGCACTCAAATGATATCTTTGCAAAAGTATAGCTAGCTCATAGCATGTGGTTAGCTAATAAAAAAAAACATTTTATTTTAGTAGACATTCCCTATGGGAAATATTCAGACTAAGGAGTCTGACTTCAATTGTTTGTTATCAGCAGAATGACTTGCTGAACAAATATTAGAAGGTTGTTTGTACTTCAGAATGCTTTTCCATCACAAGACTGAATTGCCTGAAGTTTGCACATCATAATTTGATAAAAGCAGCCTCACCTTTTACTGATACTTTTGTTGAACTCCTTATGACTTTGGTCAGAAAAAGCTGTTACTTTCTTGCTTTTACACAGAAGGTAAATTCCAAGTATCATTTTTCAGAACCATTATAAATTTCAGACCCTTTCCAGTCTTTAGTTGTTTTGATTCATTCCACCAACACCACACAAACCTGTTCTGTCTGCTCAGCTTATTTTGGAATCAGTTTCTTACAGGAGAGCTAAAAGAACATGTACAAAAACACATGCCCACCTGGGCCAACTCTGTGGAGACAGATCTGTTGTTTTGAACATGAGGGCATCCTGAGATCAGAGAGTATTAAATACCTTAATGTAAAAGAAAAAAAATCACTGAATCACCTTTAGAGATTTACTTGCCTGATAAAGTACTTTGACACTTTGTGAGAAAAAGAATAAAATACTTTTATTTTTTCCTTCTAAGAAAGAGATAGCCCCTTCACTAGGATGCTGCAGAGGAAAGACAGCATGAAAACTATTTATCCATGTTCACATACAGCAGTTTGTCTAAACTAACCCACAAAAAGGTTAAATTGCTCTTGGAAATTACTTTCCTCTGGTGCCTTTTGAAGACATTCCGAAAAGTCTGTCATGCTGAATCCTAATCTTGCAATAAGAACTCCAGCAAAATGATGACTATGTTGTGAGGGATTCTAGAATCCCGATATCAAAATTAAATTGTACAAGTCTTCACATCCTTTCAGTGACTATACCAGACATTTCCTTCATTTCTTCAGAAATGAAGAAATTAAGGAAATTCCTCCATTTTCTTCAGAAAATGTGGCTCTATTTGTGTATAATCATCAATCCACCTGTTCCTAGCTGTAACTTTGAACTTTATAATACATTTGAATCATACTGGTAGAGGAATGCAATATATTCTGAAGTTTTGTGGAAACACTGTTCAGTAGGGATAAGGGAATTAAATTCTATTACCAGTCAAAAAATACAACAGCTAAAACTCAAGAGTCATTTCTTCCATTGGCCTAGCTTTAGCCAAATAACATGTCCAGACTTTGGACTCAGTCATAGGACAAATCATATTTCACTTAGTCAGTGGTTGTCTCAGAAAGAGCCCCATGGCTTGTTCCTAGATGGGACAAGGAGAGAAAATGAACTTGAAGTACATAGAGAAAAATAGACAGAAGAATCAGGAAAAAGAAAAAAACAGTCATTTTTATCTGCAGTGCTCACAGAACAAGTTGATATCCAGAGCATAATGCAAGTTTCTTTATCACTCAATCCCACATTACTGAGAATAATACATGTTTGATAATGGTTACTTATTTGCAAATTTTTATTGGAGAAATTCCTGTTATTTTCTTTATTTGAAAAAAATTATAGAATTATTCAATTAAATAGAGAGTTATTAGGCCAGCTACCCCAGTCTTTACTCATTAAGGGTAGGAGCCAAAAGCTCCCTGAAATCAATAATATTTTCATTGATGCTATCTGAAATTACGATATAGCTCTCCTAATAAGAATATTAAGTAGTGCAAAAATGTCCTTGCTCTTCCAAACTTACAAAAAAACTTCTGATACTTTGTCACAATTTGTTTTAATTGTGTGGATGGGTTGGAGAGCATTGTATTTAGAGAAATTATATTCAGTGAACATAAACTTCTGACATCACCAAGACAACCACAATGCAACTTTCACTTCTGTAGATTTAACTTTGCAATGAAGACCAATTTCTGCTCATCCCTGTAGTGAACCATCTTAAGGCATGCAGAAGAAAAATCATGAGATCATACTGGTAATTTTCCTATGCTTTCCAGAGCTTAGGGAAGCCAAAGATGTTGCAGAAGTAAAACAGAAGTGGACAGACTCAAAACTGGTCATCTTGATGTCAGAGTCCAGTACTCTCTCACTAAGTTCTTTCAGATATTTCACCCATAGAGGCTGTAAAATATAATATCAAGTTAAGTGATTTTACACAGGTTTTTCTAGCAGATAAATACAAAACATACTGAAAACATAACAGATGTAATACAGATAAGATCTACCTTACTGCCTTTCACTATATGCTCTCTGCTGCAGTGCTGGGCATCACAGGAAAGGGATTTATGGGTTTAAGTCAGCTCAAGCTGTCTTAAATTATTTCCAAATTATTTTGCTACCTTTTTAGTATTTCTACTCTGTGTTGGGCTTGGACAGGTATCCACTCCCCTCATGCTCATCTGGCCAAGTCAGGAAGACATTGACACTGTTTTAGTGAAGTCAGGTGTAAACACTTATATCACCAATTCATCCTCTCAAATGTTAACAGCTACAATCAGTCTGCATTATGTTGAGCTAAAATAAGCTTTTGCATCAGCTGCAGTCAGCCACATCCTGCCTTTTTCCCTGAACTCCATGGGCACACTGCTCCTGCTCAGCTCCACTGAGCTTTCTTTTGTTACAGGGGTTAGCCAAAGCTAACTTCAGAGGGAATGAATGAAGTGAGATAGCAGTACATGTAACTACACTAAGGTGTTAAATCAATCCTAAAAAATGCCCTGCTTCAAAACAAGACAGTAGAAATTCTCTAGCCAGAAATAACATAGGTAGTTTACCTGTTCCCCGATGAAAATCCAATCTGTTGGAATTTCATTCAGTTACCAAATGCCTCTACTGCTCTGCTCCCTCAGTTTGTGCAGTGATGAACATTGCTGCTAGCTAGACATTTCCTAGGCATATTTAGGCAGGAAAAGCCTGTATAATTTGAGGAAACATGATTTTTCACCTTGGGCCCTAGGTTCTCAAAGCAGTACCCCAGGTTTCCTACTATAACATTGTTTTGATATATTTCCACAATTTCTTGAGCTATTTTGAGCTAAAAACATTGTAAGCACAGATGCTTCTAAAGTATGACAAGATTGTAACAAATCTTTGCAAAACAAAATGCCTGCCCCAATGTTGAAGTTTATGTCTCAGTACAGGACATCATTCTAAGTCTTGCTCAACAACTTTAAACTATACCACCTTTCCTCCTCCCCAGATAACTCCACCAAAGAGCATTAGAGTGATCATTTCCTCAGAAAAACAAACCTCCTGATTTTTTGCATTACTTTAGAAGCAAGGTTTTCCTTCTTACCTGCCGTGTAGCATCTTGTTGCCACAGGACAGAAGTGCTGCTGTCCCAAACGCAGGCTCACTAGCTACTAGCAATTCACACACCGAGGTGAAGTATTTCTACTTTTTAATTGAAGTTTGCACAAGGTAATGAGCTATAAGGCAAACCCACAAAAGACCAAAAATTGTTCTGATCATGAGAACTCTACAGTTAATACATTTCAACGGAGGCATACATTCACTGGTTACAAATTATATAATTTTTTGTTAGCTAATAGTCAAACCCTACCTTACCCTACCCTGTTCCTACCTTTACTTGATGGGTTCAAAGCAATGATCAAATGTATCAGGAAATGATGTCTTCCTTCTCAGCTGAAATACACAATTCTTGTTCTGTGCTTTTTAATTCCTCTGCTTAGACTAGCCAGGTAATAGTGATTAGTGGCCATGCATAAAACTTGTCTGTATGTGATCATATGTGAAGGCACAGTGTACAAAAGATTTTCAAGTATATGTAAAGCAAGCAAATTAATTAGCATAATTCATCTAAGCTCTGATTCTAGGAAGTATTTATAACAATACTCCATTCATACTTATAAAATACATCCCATTTTTCTTTGAAACATAAATATGAAGTTAATTGTGTCATTTTAATTGGATATGCCAAGTTCAGGAATCATCATAAAATAAATTTTAAATTTGGTACATCAGATAAAAAAGAATTCTCAGCTGAACTAAAGAGGGTAACCAGGAGATAGAGCTAATTATCTGTCAACTTCAGTTATTTTCTTCTGTTTGTATTGGTCTGTGAGTCTATTAAAATTAGGTTTTATTATACACAGTTTTTTTAGAAATAATAAGAAAAAATACATTAAATAAAGTATCACTGAGAATGAGCTAACAATTTAATCAGTTACAAAGCAACTAGAAAAATTGCATTGTCTTTATGGCAATCTCAAAACTATCTTACTTGGCACTAATATCACTGCTTTAATAAATCACCAGGTTTGTAAGCAAGCTATGGATCTCATTCATCATTTTCTCATTAGTCCTCTCAAATCAGAAATACCATGAGGAATAAATATTGAAGACCATCAGGGATAACATGGATTAACTTTGAAATATAAAAGAATACTCTTCAAATAGGTTGGCAAAGAGATTTACATTTTAAGGTAAATCTTCACCTTTTTTATTCCTATCAGGGCTAACTCATGCTAGAGGAAACTTCCTCCAATATGTTCTATCTGCCTATGTTCAACAGCAAGTTCAAGTTCTGTTTCATAAATTAAAAACTACATATCCTGCTCCCCACAAAGCAAAGAAAGTTTAAAGTTATGATTGTTGGTTTGCAACAGAATTATATTTATCATGTGAAAAATGTTAGACATTTCTATTAAAGTCTGCTTTTTCCTTTTGTAGACACAAGGAACAATTCTTCCTGCTCCAAATTTTAACCCTATAATGGATGCCCAGGTGCTAGGAGGAGCTCTACAGGGAATTAGTGAGTACCTTGACTGATTCTAACAGAAGTTTCCCTTTTTTCAGAAAGCATCAGTCAAAAAATAAACTCATAAAATTGTCACCACCTACCTGCAGATTCTTCAAGAAACCACAATAAGACATACTGATGATGTCCAAAAAAATAATTTGCATTTACAGGAACTAAGAGTTGATCAAGATTAATCTAAAATCCATACTAACACTTACAGTAATGAACATTTCAATGAGAAAACAAAGAATTCTGTGTTGCATCACTAGAGTGAGGGCCAAGAAACAAAAGGATTTTAGTTGTAACTGCAACAATTAAGTGCTACCAAGGTCTGCCAAGTCTTTTATTGAGTCATAAGAAATAAAAACAAATGGAGTAGAAACTTTAAAGAATTCATTATCTTTGCCATTTTTGATTTCAGTATTTGTTCCAAAAAACTGTTGTTCACAAAAGCATTTTTCTCAGTTCAGATTTATTTTCCTATTGAACCTTGTTGGTATTGCTGAGGCTAAAAATATTGATCTGTTTTTTTACCTGAAATGTTTTCCTCACTTTAAAACTGTTCTCTGTATCAGCTTTTATACCCCTTGGGCTAGTCACAAGATTGTACAGCACCAAATCTTGCATGCTGTTTTCAATTTCTTTAATGAAAACGTGAGGACTCAGATTTAATGTCGAATGAATCACAATAAGCATTACTCATCAAGAGGGATCTGAAGTATCTTAATGACCAAATAGGAGACAGGTAAGTTTTAAACATCTCCCTACACTCCAATGAGTACTTTTAAGGTAATGTTGCTAACATGAAAGTATAGAGATGATATCCTTCATTTAATACTCCAAGTACACCAACCTTAATTTTAACATTCCTATCAAAGTACATGGAACAAAGTTGTAATTTAAAGACCAAGTAACAAAATAAACAGTTCATCTTTAGAGATGGTAAAGTCACCATATTCTTCACAGCCACGGACACTCTGACCCTCAGTCCTGCACATGGCAGTCATTCTTATGAGGATGCTCAGTCATCTCTGCTGTGTCACTGATACCAGTGGTACTACACAAGTAAATAAAGTTTTATAATATCTCCTCTATCTGGATCCTTCTCATTTTTTACTAGAGACTATGTAAGCTGTAAAGATTCCTAATGATAGCTATTTTCTGAAAAGTAAAAAGAAACCATTATGTACAGTAACCCAAGTCTTAGGATGAAAAAAAAAATTTCAATTCCACAATAATTTATGAATACATCATATTTTTCATAAGCAATAATACTGATTCATTATCAATGTTTACTAGTATCTTCTAGCTATCAAGCAAACCATCATAAGCAACCTTCAATAAAATGCCCTTTGGAAATGGAGTAAAATAGTAAATTTAAAACTTCATACAGTTCCTCTGAATTATAACTTGGAGTTTTTCAACAAATGGTTGAAAACTCATTTATTTTTGTCTAACAAATTGTCTAACAGCAATATGTCACACCCATAAAAGATCCCCAGTTCTTAAATGACAATTTAATCAATATCAACAGAATGCACAAGTATGACTTCCAAGGCTCAGCCACAAATCCTGCTACTGGGCTTAGTTCTGAATCCATGAAAGCCCCTGTTTTATTGATGCTTACAAATCCATTGAGCTTGCAAGAGGTGTTGAGATGCATCTGGTAATAACAGACTTTTTGATGGCATTAAATGGCTTCACTTTTTGATGGCATTAAACCAACAAGTGCAAGATACACAAGCACAGTAAATATAAATGATGTTGGTAAATATTTTGGGGGATATTAACCTCTATTAGTTTTCATTCAAAAAATTGGTCATGTTTTGTTTAAGAGCATTATACTAATCACAAATCTAAGTAATTGACATCAGTTTGTTAATTTAGAGTCTGTGTCATTTCCTTTTCAGGTTGTGAAAAAGATGTGTTGATTGAAATCCTAACTCAGCGTTGCAACTCCCAGCGGCTCATGATTGCTGAGGCATACAGGGACATGTATGGCAGGGTATGACAGAAATACTTTGTACTGTTATTACTTCTTTCTCTCCTGTCTCCTGTGCAGCTGTCAGCCCTTCTCTCAGGTCACTCACTGGAACCACAAACCTGCCAGCCTTGCACAATGGGTTTGGCACAAAGTTGCTCATTGGCTATCAATACCTCCAATGGTATCACATTGTCATTTCTCCAGCAGAAGCATTGTCTGTTAGGAAAGAGAAAAGGACAGGAAAAGTTCCTTCTTCTACAGTCCATTCTTCTCTATTGACCAACCTAAAGTATCTGAGCAGGCTTATTTCTTCCTTTGTGATTTTGGGGCATTTTGTAATACATTTTTCAAGTTTTTGGAACAAATAATAAAATAGTATTGTAACCAAAAAAAAACACCATACAAAGAGTTACAGGCTTTTGATCATACATAATGATTAGTGTTTACCTCTCAAGCATGATATTCTCACACTCATTCCATAGAGTCCCATCTGTACACTAAGCACAATAGTCATCTGAACTGCTTAATGTTAACGCTATGATCTTGGAAAGTGTTTAAAAATTAAGACATAAAAAGTTATTTTTTTAAAGTGTATTTACTGTATATAACAATGGAATTTTTGTTATCTGAGTTCTTAAATGTACACAGAGATAGCTTCATTCTATTTCCATATCTACAGTTGCTAACCAACTAACCAGGAAAGCTGTAGTGCCTGCATTTTCCTTAGTTGCTACAGCTATATAAGGACAAAAATAATATTAACACTCCCTGCAAAATTCCTGTGCAAGTCATGCAAAGCACAGTGTAAAACTAGATACTATTTGATTAAGTTGATGAGACATGCCCTTCCTCTGAAAGAGGGCAGATAAACACTTAGAACAAAATCCATTGTCTTCATTTCCTGAAGCCTGTAAAACTAAGGGCTCACTAGAAAACTCCTTGTAGGCAGTGTCTGATTGCCATTGATTAGCATGAGTGAGAACAACGAGTTTGTGCAAATACTACCACAGAGCCATCTCCCTTAATTTGGGTTAACTAGAAATGGTTCATTCAAAAACTCCACATTATGTGGTGCTTTTACAGCACCAATTTATTAACCAGCAGAATACATTTGGGTGGCCAAGAAGTTTTCTAGAGAGAGTCTTTGCACCAGCTCTAGAATAAAATACCTCAAAACCACTGACTCCTGAATAAGCTCAAACACCCATTTACTGTCCTAGAACTGGAGGAAAAAGAGCTGGATTTAACCAGTGTAGTGAGCTGATTTTGTGTTTTTTACTCACCTGCAGGAGTTCAATGACTATTTGGACTGTTAGAAAAAATGAAATACACAATAATCATGATATTTTAGTCATAGCCTTGAATTTATAGACCATAAAAGAACAATAACTGAATCACAGCTATCCACCCTCCAGAGACTGTGACAATGATAGAAATCAGCATCTAAATTATTAAACCTGTTTTTTCTATTATGAGGTATTTATTAGGTTACCATTACACATGCAAACCATACAAGTGGAATGTTTAGCTATGCAATATACCTCACCAAGTTTTGATGTTACATATAGAAAACTAAAGTATGTCAAACTACCCAAAGGTGCCTGTGACATGAAGAACCCAAGCCCATTCTTCCCAAGAGTTGATTTATCTCCACCACTGGACAGTCCTTCTCTACTTCATCAATAGCAGCTGTCTGGTTTGTTTTAACCTTTTCTCTACAGTGTATCAACTGGACCTATCACTTTAACCAGGGAAAATATTGAAAATATTTGTATTGTGTTTTTATGTTTAATTTCTGTCATCTGATACATGAAGATGAACTAGAGTTAATACAGTATCAAAATAAATACTTGGCAAATGTCCTTCAGGAATGCAATTATTTCATATATACAGAAAACAACTACTGACTTGCTCACCACTAATTGTCTCTTTTCAAAGCCAAAATAAAAATATAAACAAATCAAGTGCTTATGAAAATATATCACCTTTAAAGTCATATCTCTTTCAGCCATATGAGTTAACACGAAGGGCTACAAAAACAATGGACACAGACCTAAATACCTAGAAAAAAGGAAAAAGCCAAAGAAAACCTCAGATGTCCTTTTTAAGAATCTCAGTCTCTAAATCTATGAATAATAGAAGGGAAAGGCAAGAAAACTGTTTTCATATTCTAGCAGTGGGCTACAGAATGCTCTAAAAATCATGGAACATAGTCCAATACAGTCTCAATTTTAATTCCAATTAATTCATTAAGCACTGGGTACACTTTACAGTGCAAGATGCATCATGATACTTTTGACAGTTTCTAAAAAAAACCCACCAAGAATGTGATCTATGTTGCATTAAATTGCTCTAGTTTGTGAAAGATAATTTTGCACATATCACACTTCCCTAGCTGTAATTTGGGTTATATTGCATTGAACAAATGCACCATTTGGCAATCCCAGTTTATGAATAGTAAACATTACAGGACAGAGAAGAGACATGGCAAGGCAAGAGCAGTTTTAACCTTCTCAATTCAATTTATGGTAAACCTGTTGGCCCAATCCTTTTCCCTCTTTATTCCACTTCAGTTCTGCTCAATATGGAAACCACTATGCCCATTCATTAGACAAATGTAAACTGAGACACATTAGAAGGAGAGAAATATTTAAAAAATTAAAAGGAGACCTGAACTAGCTGCATGATTCAAACATACAGAAAATTTCTAAGATTCCTTCTTACAGTTAGCCTCCAAGGATTTCTTACAGGAATGATGATTAGGAAATTAAAATAACAACTTAGTTATTTTCTTATTTCTAATACTTCACTTAGTTCTGATTACAGGTGTAATTTTTTAGTAGTAACCATCTGTATTATTAATCTATTTTCCCACAGGCATGTTGTCAGAAGTAAAATGGCTTACTGAATTAATGTCTATTCCATGTGTGATTTAGTGGATGTCAAATGAATCTGAAGTGCATTCACCAAAGACTATGTTTCTTCATCACAAACTTAATTTTTAATAAGCATATGTCTTCCTTCAGTGCTACTCTAGATATTAAATTAATTATATTCAGAAATGCATTAAAATTAAAGTATAGGCATGAAAAAAAACAAAGCTCTGGAAATATACTAGTTTATATAATAGAAACTGTTTCTGGCATGCCTTTCAATTCAGACAGACTAGAACATCTTCTAGGTGTCTAGTGCTACACTCAAAATATAAAAAAAAAAAGACCAGTGACCTAAATCAAAAACAGTAACTACTACTGGCATTTGGCATTTGCAGTGTTTTGAAGGATACTACTAGGAATGGGGAGGAAACTGATCTATTACTCAGCTATCTAGTAAGAAAGAACTGAGAAATATGAGGAGGAAAAAGGTGGTTCCATATTACTAATCCAGCATCTATCAAAAGTAGTGAATTCAGTTTGAATGTGAAACATAACTGAATTGAAGCACATAACCTTCCAGCTATTCAAAGCTAATTTTTTATGTACTAGGAGCAATATAGATGATTTTTCTTAAATAATTCACATGATAACACTGAAAAAAATCAAAAGAAACCACCTGTGTTTTATGAGCTTGATCTTCCAAATGTGCTTACCTTTCTCAGATTTACACAGGGAAGCTGCAGATGCTCTGTTGTGATATTCAGTTTTCCAAGACTAAGTAATAGTTGCACTTAAACATCTGCATTTTCTTCTCTGCTCTAATGAACTGCAAACCAACAATCCATTGTGGCCTACTGGCTTGTGCACCTATTCTCATCTTGCTCATACTAGTAGAACAAGCATGTACTATGTAAAAGAGGTTTTTTTTACTTAATCTTAGCCAGGATTCATCTTTGACAGTTCATCCTTAATCATTTACAGAGAAAACCACTAATTTAAGCTGCCTTAATAAAGTGTGACTATAGAGATAACCCTAGCTGTGCACTTTCTCTTTCTTTTCAAGGATCTGATAACAGACCTAAAAGAGAATCTCTCTCATCACTTTAAAGAAGTTATGGTTGGCTTGATGTATCCACCTGCATCTTATGATGCCCATGAGCTTTGGCATGCCTTGAAGGTAATATTCATATTCAGAATTGCTTAGAGTTGCAGTCATTAATTAGCATACAGAACATACTTTTTTTTACATTTCATTGGTTGATAAATTACTGTAAGTTAGTTCACTGGAGTAATGTACTATCACTAGTCATCAGAAATACAGTGCTAGTTCAAGTTTATCCATTACTATGCTAAAATCAGCATTAAAAAATATCCTTGCCATGGAATATATACAAAGCATTTAACATCCATGGTAAACTCAGACAATTAAGATTTATACAGGGAAATGCAAGATGCTGTTTTTTTGGAATCATTTAGGTATGCTACAAACCAAATTTATTTTCACAGCCAGTGCCATGCACTTAAGCTCCACCTCTCTAAAAACCAATAATTCTTTAGCAGAACATGTCTTTGCATAAACACAAATTACCCTGTGACTAAGTGTCACAGCTTACTGCATAATCAAAAGGGTCATGACACACAGAGCACCACCATACAATTTTGGAAGGCTTTAAGCATTCACCCAAACAGAGTAACACCACACCTCATCTGAAGGCTTCTGGTATCTGCCCATAAAGAACAACACCACTTCATTTCAGAAGGCTGCAAACATCTGTTCTTTCTTGTTCTTCAGCCCAGCCTTTTATACCCTCATGTCCCTGCACTGCCCCTGTGTGCCCTCTGCTCCCTTTGGTGGTTGCTCAGTGCCCCTGGGCACTCCCTGGCTCATTGCTGCCAGTGCTGCTCCCCTGCTGCTCACAGCTGCACCCACTGGGGATGAGGCTGGGACACAGCCACCCTCCCAGTCACCACAAACTGTGTACATACAACAAAGTAATAGTAACTCCACTGAAAGAGAACTGATTTCCCATTTTGAAGGAAATATTCCTTTTCTTCCCTGGATCTGCGACTGCAATCCTTACATAACTGAAGTTTGTGAACAAAAACATTTTTTCAAATATCAGGTCATTTAATGATTAAATTCACTCCCACAGGGTATTGTGGAAACCAAAAGCACAACTTAGTTCGTAGAGGACTTCAATATATTCTTTGAAACCAGGTTGACTGTTGGCTATTGAAAATAATAATTCTTCTCAGGAAATTCCCGAATTACTAACTCCTAAAAGACAGGAAGGCGTATCAGAGTTCAACACTGTTTTCCTTTTCTTTCCATGAATATTTGCTACTGTCTGCTGTCATAAGACAGAGACTACAAGACTTTGGGCAAGATGATTTATCCTGCCAATTTTGAGAATTCTGCCACCCCTCAAAAAAAGAGTTAATAGTTTTTTCTTGTTCTTCAGACACTTAAATCAATTTTTAGAACTACTGGTATGTCTTTATTATAGTTAGCATTAAAAGGATTGTGAAATATCATTGCTAACAAAGGAATCATATCTTTCATCAACATTATTGACAAAATTGCCAAATTTTATTTTTTCCTAAATGTGAAACTTGAACTTTCTTACAGTACTCTATCTTGACCTGGATTCATATGGTCAAGGTAAAAAAAAAAACAAGCCCATGTGTATCTATGGGCTCTAATGCTCTCCCTTTATCCCAAATGCCAGAATCCCAGAATTCTCATTACCACCATCCACGTGTATATCAAAAGTAGCACATGCACCACATCTCATGTCAATTGAAGTTTATAAAATTAATTCAAACCCTGTGTGAAGATACAGTGATTTGCAGCACCGCATGTATTCCACGATGCTTTCCTTTAATACCAAGTTCTATGCTAGATATTACAGACTATAGCATTCCTTAATAAATTATATATTAAAAAAAAAATAAGATGATAAGAAGAGAGAAGACCAACAAAATACATATTCCCATGTCTACTTCAGATTTCCTGAACACTTGCTAGGGATGTATGCTCAATTTTTGCATCTGATTTCTTTCAGCAAACAATAAATCTTCCTAAGTTCTAAAATTATTCCCATTACATTTTTGTCAACACTAGTCTTGCTTCACTTCCCATTTGCTATGGTATATGCTGAAATTCAGATTTAGAAATATATTTGAAATACAGGGTTTTACTATTAAAGCAATTTGAACAGGTAAATTATGCGAAAGTACACTACAGAAATTGCTATTATTTTGTTATTTCTGGTAAGGACAGCATTGCTTTCTTCTAAAAATTGCAGTTTCTACTACACAAAATCTTTTTATATTTACTTCTTTCCATACAGGGAGTAGACACAGAAGAAAAATGTCTAATTGACATATTAGCCTCAAGATCAAATATGGAGATCTTTCAGATGAAAGAAGCCTACCTAATGCGTAAGCTTTTTTAACAAGTTCAGAGTAGCAGCTGTACTTTGTGTGTTCTGGAGATATTAGCACACACGAAGGAACAGAACTACAAAAATGACTCCTCAGTACAGACTGGTTCCTTTTCCACATCCTCTCCCATACCTACATAGAAAAGGCTGAAGAAATGTGGTGGGCGGGCAGGCCAGTGGGGACAGCGGCTGAGGGCCCCCAGCTGGGACAGATGGATGTGCCAGCCCCAGAGCAGGGTCCTTGTAGAACCTGCCCAGGTTACACTGGAATAGAATAAGCCTATTTATCCTTTATTTGATAATCTTCATTTGTACTATTAAGAGCATGTTCATTTGTGATTTAAGATTATATGTTTTTGGTTTAACCTAGAATATAACACTGATCTTCAACAAGATATTGATTCTGAGACTTCAGGTCACTTCAGAGATACACTCATGAACCTTGCTCAGGTACTGTAAAAACAAGAACTATGACTTACGTTTCTAAAAGATTCATAATGACTTTCAATAGTATTTGATAAGTTTTACATTTTAAGGTGATTGTGATTAAAGGTAGCTCAATAGGGCTGCACTTTTAAACAAGAAACAGGAGGGGAGCTAATGAAAAACAGAAACTGAATTCCTTCATCTACTCTTAGATTTTGGATATCAGATGGAAGCAAAGGTAAACAGATTATTTTATAAATTCCCATTGGTATTCATCTGCTGACCCTTTGCTCTATTTGACTCACCTCAAAATGAGTCTACTTGCATATACAAATGTGATTGTCATTTTTAAAAGCATATGTTTTCTCCATTATCAGAATATATCATAAATCAGTCAAACATGTGTAAATTGAGATATATTCATATTTGACTAAGAAATAAAGAATTAAGAGTTCAGTGCTTAAAATATAACGCTCTTTGTGCTATTGCATATGCTAAATCACAAAATGCTAGCACAGAAGTAAAGGAAATATCACTTTTACATGCTAACTTTTGCAGTTTTACCAGTCCATAGCTTATACAACAGAGTGATCATCCTTGTCATTTTCATTGCAGTTACTGTGCTCATTATCTTTACAATCTTTTGCAAACCAGAGTAACAAATAATAAAGTGCTGCCATGGGATAACAGCATCTGTAAGGTATATCTGTACTTTTAAATACATGCATATCTGGGAAAAAAACTTCTTACACAAATTTGAAATAACAGTAGGCTTCACTGTAATTAAGAAGACAGAAGTTTCAAAAGTAGAAGCTGTAAACAGGAAATATTTTTTTCTCATGCTGGATGTTTTTTCCCGAATAATGAAAATTTTTCCTTGCTTAAAAATGAAGAGCAACCTCACTTAAGCAACCTCGCTTCTGTAATTATTAAAACCATGGCACATACTTCACCCGTCAAATGAACCAAATTTAAAATAATCTCTGATTATACATTACTAGTCCTAATTTTTTTAAAACCTAGGCATTGATAAAGAAGCCTAAAATCAGCAATTTTGTGGCTAACAAAATCAGCTATTTCACTCAAGGATGAGTTGCAGGAAATTTCAACTTGACTCAATTATACTGAACTTGTGACGATTGTTAATAAAATCACTCATGCTTGCATATCATCTTATATTAAAATTCAGTGATATTTCATTAAAACATACCCTTTCTAGTTCTATAACCAGACATTTCCAGTGCATTCATTAATGCTTTTTTTGCAGAAAACCTCTCTTATGATTTCTATTAAATCAGACTACTGAGAGAAGTAAACATGCTCCACATATGCAGAGCAAACTATTCAATTGCTATAGTATTGTATCTATGGTTTCCATGTCCAGCCTGAGGCAGATTAGAAGTTACAGGTTATGGTCCTTCCTAAAAGTTAAAAGAGTTTCAAATTCAGGCAACTTAATATTCTAGTCTGAGACAAAGACATTCTATTTCTCTTTTTTAGGTCATTAATTGAAATATTATAATTTTCTACAATTTAAAACATAATTATACAAATTTTACTGGAGAAAGTAGGCATTTGACTCATGTAGAGTATAATTACAGTTATTTTATTGTACACTGCCCTGTCTTTATTCCCTTGTTTTCTTGTGTATGTAATTTAATGCAGCCATTCCATCACAATTCACTTCAGATAATTTATCCTGCCACTAAAAATTTCACTGAATGAAATTCTCACCATTTAATTAACATGTAAATTAACATTTTTTACAAGAAAGAACTACAAGTCATTCTACAAGCTGACAGCCAATACCTAATTTTAATCCTTCCCTTCATATATAAGGTAACACAACTGTAAATTTTAAACAAAATTGCTTCAAGCACATATTATTAAGGCAGTAATTACATGAGCTTCAGATTAAGAGTTCTGCAAACAGGACTGATTTATATCTTTACAAGATGAATATGGTTATAAAAGCAATTCTAAAAGTAGTGTCCTCTTCTCTTTTTCTGACTATATAATTCAGATCATAGTGTGTTTACTAAAGAATTTAGCTTTGTTTGTGTACCTGAATAGCTATTAAATGTATGGGAAAATGAGAACTATTCTTTTGGGGTTTGTGTATCAAAGTTGTCAAACCATTTCCTAGTCCTGGATCTTAATTTTAGTCAATGATTATGATCAAGCAAAATCTCTATTATTTGATGAGTTTGCTCCTATGGTTTGTGGAGGAAAAAAAAATACATTGAGAAAAGATTTTTCTGGGAATATGAATATTGGTAAGAACTAACCAGAGAATGGTAAATGTTACTCCTATCCTTTTTATCCCCTCAGAGTTACATATTAGACAATATAACATCCATAATTCTGAAAATGGTGGTGGGATTGTGGTGGTCAGGTAAAAGGTTATTTAAAATAGGACTAAAAATGGGATAGGTTTATCTACTTCCCCCACTTTTTCTTTTCACAAGACTGTTTTTCATTCCAGAATTCTTCTTATTAAAGAAAATTAAGCCATAATGTGACAACTTGAAGATATTGTCCACATTTGCAAATTCAGCCATGCAATATACTGATCCAATCTAAAGGCCTATATTTGTTACCTCAAGAAATTCAACATAGCTTCATACACAGAGAACTTTATATTCCTACAGTGGTTTAGGATTTAACTTTGAAGAATAAGTATCTCTTTTTTCCCTCAGGGTACAAGGATGGAAGGATATGCAGACCCTTCTACAGCTGCTCAGGATGCAATGGTGAATACGCTCACATGTGAAGTTCTCAAACATTTTAAAAAACACAGAAAACAAATGTTGAAAAGTGATTAAGGAATTACTTTAAATATTTTGCTTTTTTTGTTTTTTTCTGATATATTAGATACTATGGGAAGCATGTCAGCAGAAGACAGGCGAACACAAAAACATGCTGCAAATGATTCTCTGCAACCGGAGTCACCAGCAGCTGTGGATGGGTAATCCAGCAGTTCAGCTGTTTGAATACAGTTTAAAGGAAAAACGTGACTCGCTAAGAAATCCATGCTTTGCATACCAAGATAGTCAGTGTGCAGCAGGACATCAGCCTGAAACCAAGTGTGAACTGTTGGAGCTTTCAGACTTGCACTGATGTTAATGGGAATTTGGAAGCAATGCAAAAGTGAACTTTGTCCGATGACTACTGACAGCTGTATACAGGCCAGGCATCAGGATGCCTAGTAACCTGGAGAAGAATGCATGACCAAAGGCAAATGTTACAGCTGCACTGAGTCTACACATGACACAACAGGATGAGGGAGATTTTTCTTAATTATTTTATTCATTTTTCTTAAGCAACTCTTATGAGGGGAAACACCTAGGGAGAGCTGGATGGAGTATTTTCAACAAATGTTTGTGAAAACACATTGCTGCGTTGAAGCTTTTCCCCAGAAGTTTCATAGAACTTTTTGTTGGAAGCACTTCTGAGTTCACATCTGCTCTCCAGTAATGAACATAAACACAGAAACACAAGGGCCATTTTTATTTAAAATAGAAAATCAGACATAACTAGAGATTGCAGGAAATTTATGTAAGCTCATCCAAATCTTCCATTGTAGAAAATAAACCTATTTTACCTGGTGTCAAGTTTGAGTTTCTGCTCTGCAGTAGAAAAACAGTCTGTCTGCTGACAAGTTTATCACCATGCAGCCAGCTGTATTCCTTACGTCAACTTCCAACAGTAGCTTATAACTATTTTGTTATCATGGACCAACAAATTCATTCAGCTGATGATGACAGGATTAACACACCTGCTCTATGTTCTATTCTCCTTCTGAGATCTGAGGGCCCTGCCTGTACTGTAGTGCTCCTTGTAGTCAGCAGAAAAATAATTTTCCTCCTTCCGTAATGGAGAAAGCACACTCTGGATATTTGTGTGTCTGCGTATCTGCCTCTTGCAGGGAGTGTGTGCGTCATGCGAGTCCTGGCTCCTTGCCACAATCCAGGAGTCTTGCCAGTTCTAGCCAAGCCAAGCAAGGAAGTTGTCTTACTAGAGTGGGACGTTCTTACAAGTGTCATAAACAGATTCGCTAGATACGTGGCATGAATTCATGCTATACTGTAGGCTAAAGAACCCAGGGGAGAATGTCCTAGAAGCCAGGTTTCAGGCTACTCATTTAGGTTACCTGACCTGGGCAATATAAACATAATGAAACACTGAGAATAATAAGAGTAAAAAAAAAAAATAAACTCAATAGTTATAGTACTGGGGAGAAGCAAGGGAAAAAGCCCACAAAAAGTAAGTTGATCATTATTAATGAACTAGAATAAAACAAGATTTTTTTTTTCCACCCCTCCCCCCCAAGTTTTCCAGGAGTTCCAAAATATCGCTGGGCAAGACATAGTAGATGCCATTAATGAATGTTACGATGGATACTTTCAAGAATTACTGGTTGCAATAGGTAATGTAAAGATATTATTTTTACTAGCAGCAATATCTTAATAAATTCTAGTATATCATCTCTTGTGCAGCAAGAATACTATATTTCTGATATTTTATCTACTTTAATCTCCTATATTGTGCAATTAAATTTTCAGAGATAATTAAAAATGTATATTTTAACTACTTTCCCCTGTTACTGTAAATCTAAAAATGTGTCTATGCAACACTAGCTTCTGATTGAGCAGAACTAGTATCTACTTTGTTTGATAATAAATTTTATGTGATAACTGCATTTCCAACTGATTTTACATATTAAATAACCAGCTATGTTTTCAGGACTTTGCAAGCTTTATGTACATTTATCTTTCATTTATAGACTAAGGATAAAAATATTTCTACAAATAGGACATGTGATATTTAATAGGCCATTTGATGCAACAGCAATGAGGACCCACCACCAAACTTTCAAAATTATAAATATAGTTGTATTATTGAATATTGGTAGCTTAATTTAAACCTAAGGCATGGACAGCACTGTCCAGTTTTGTATTTCAAGGAGCCCAAAGCCTAAAGAAATTATTTTATAATAATCTGTTTACCTGTTGCAATTCTTCTCTCCCAGTTCTCTGCATTCGTGACAAGCCTTCCTACTTTGCTTACAGGCTTTATAATGCAATTCATGTAAGTAGCCATTCTTCCTCACATTTCATAAAAATAAGCTTCCCTTTTGTTTGTTTGTTTGTTTGTTTGTTCTAAAACAAGTACTTACAAATCAGTCTCTTCAATCTTTAAGGTGTGATTGGGTATTTTAAAACTGTTGGTACCTACATAAATTTCAAAGCAGTAGTGCCTAAGCAGTAGAAGTAAAAGTTTAAGTATTTAGATACCTTAAAAATTATCTGTCTATGCATGGCAACTTTTTTCTATGCATGGAAACTCCTCCTGCTGTGCAGAACTCAATGTGCATTATTCTTACTGTGTAATTTTTTTGTCTGTAGAGATTTAATAAGTACGGCTAAAACTTAAAAAATAAATTAATGTTGCATGAAGACAAATGCTTATATTTCTTTGTAGGACTTCATGCAGATTCTTTTCTTTTTTGTGCAAGTGCTAACTTCTTTTTCATTGCCACTAGATGTCCCCATTCCTCACAGAATTACTTATGAAAACTTATTTAGAAACAGTTAAAATAAAACACATTTGAACAAGCTATGTAAATTCTAAAGCTATGGTTAAAATCTCACAGAATTCACGAGGCAGCAGTTTTTGTGAAATAGATTACTGGCCTCATTATCGCTTGAACGGACTCCACAACAACAGTCACAACTGCTACTCACAAACTCCATTCCTAGGAATATTGACAAATGTTTGTCATATTTCCTTTTTTAAAAGTTTCAGTGCATGGATAAACCACTGGCATGTAGGGACTCCCTGTTACTCAGTTACACGAATTCTATTATTTGAGTACATGAAAACTCAGTAGGATAAAATCCTTAGACGCCTTTAACATCTAGGATACTGTTATGGGTAAACCTTTTATACACTATAAACTTTTATTTCCTATATGGGTATGTCTTGTCTTTATCTATTAAACATTTATATGAGCATATACAGATGGGCAAGCACATATTATTCAACTATCAAGTTTCCTCTCATTTTCTTTTTTCATTTTAGGACTTTGGTTTTCACAATAAAACAGTTATTAGGATTCTCATTGCCAGGAGTGAGATAGACTTGATGAACATACGCCAGCGATACAAAGAGAGATATGGGAAATCACTCTTCCATGACATTAAAGTAAGTTTTTACAAACTTCTGCATATATTCAGCCCTGGTACCGCACAGACTGTATCACTCTGTTTAACCATTTGGTTTAAAACAAAACAAACAAAAAAGAAAGGTGTAAAAACAATAGCACATTTTCAGTGCCTCAGTTTGATTTGAGTAAGTGAGAAATTAATTTTCAAGTCACTCTCTGTGATTTTATCCCTCCCCAATGCAAGATGTGTATATAAACATATATACATAACAGCGTGTGCTGAACAAGAGTTTGAATGAATGGTTTCTACACTAACTGATAACATCTTATCTGATCTGATCTGTAAGGCTAGGCTGGTACCCCTCTTGTGCAAAACTGGAGTAAATATCTGGTTTTATCCTTGTGCTTAGGTAGTACCCTCACAAACCCTGTTCCCCTTGTATGTCCGGTCTGCATCTTAAAACAAAACTTTGAATCTGTTTAATTGTAAAAAAATGTCTCTTGCTTTTTTATGTCACTATAATACAACTGCAAGATGTGCAGCAACTTTATGAAATTGTTAATTAATTTTTGGTATTGAACTTGAGAATTAATTAACAGATCTGATCCAGCCTTTCAAAAACAGATTGTTTCTAGGTGCCCAAGAAACCAAAGGCTATAGCAAGTGAAATTTTTAAAAAAATCTCAGCCTATAATCCTTATCAAAACAATGTAATGCTTCATAAAACCTTACAGTAGTCTAGTCCTTGTCACATACCAGAAAAAGAAAAATTCAGAAAACATGTAGTCACAGAAATGCGGAATTTTTTTTTTTCCTTGCAGCATTTTGCTTCAGGGCATTATGAGAGCGCTTTACTTGCTATCTGTGCTGGTGATACAGAAGATTATTAAGAAGATGTACTCTGAAGGCTATGCAAACCTATTTTAAATAGAAATTAAAGCTATGTGTAAGTGAACTTGAAGCTAACTGTAAGAGATCCCTATTTTACATAACAGACCAGAAAAATCAGTAATGGACATTTGCTTGTATTAAATCTTTCTTGAGACAGGGAAAAATGTTTGGAAGAACATGGTTTTTATTCCAAGTTCAAATTAATATTTCTGATTTTATGATTAATGTAAATTAATGGAGCAAGTGGTAAAATTATTCCATGTAGGCATTTGTTTATCGTTTAGTGTCACAACATTCAAAACATTCATCAACAGGCTCTGGAAGAATTTATTCACTTCCACAGCGGAGAGAAGAAAATATCTTACTTTATTTACTTTTAGCAAGAGGATTTCTTTCTTTAAGTAAATTTTTCTTCTCTTTCCTAGTTTTATGCGTCATACTTTATGCTCTTTAACATTATTGTTTTAGTTATAACCAGACTAAGCATCTGCCCCCATCTATTATCACTATCAGAGTGCTTTTGTATTCTCTTTTACTTTGCTCATATACTTAATAGCTTGTATATTCTGCTTGAAACAAAAGTAAAAATTAGAATCAAGTACTCCATGCACTGGAAAACCAGGAAGACAAAGCACTATTTAACTTTAAGCGGAGAAGTTCCAGAGGATTAAAATCTAAATTCCATCTCATTTTAACTATTCATTGACTACTGGTCATCAGCGCATGGAGGTATATCCAGGATGCTCTAGGTGCCACATTTCGAGAACTGACTACTCGTGGGTTAACACTGCACCTCGAGTGAGGCTGAAGGATGCGGCGCTCCCTGGGAGCACCGCCAACAGTCTGGCACAGCCCGACTCGAGTCCCGGCCCCAGGACAAACCTGGCGCTGCTTTAGATACCTGGGGGCTGTCCAGGGCATCCTATTCGTGAGCCTTCCCAGCCTGGGCGCACGAACCTCCTGCCAGCCTCTCAGGGAAAGTGAGGGAAGGTGCGGGTGTTCAGTAAAATACCTGCCCGCGGCTTTTCTGCCGCTGCCGCAAGGTGTGCAGCTGGACACAGACGCTCTGGACGTTTCACGGAGCTGCTCTCCGCAGGCGCCGTCCGTGGGGCGAACGAAGCACTGCTGCAGAAAGGCACGAACGCTTTGTGCCCCTTGCACCTCTGGAAATAACACTGCAATTCCAGCGTACAGGGCTTCGTTGCCAGTATGGGCATCGTGTTACAAAATGTTGATTTACAATAAATTTAAGATTTCTTTCGAATCTCTCTTGAGTTTGGCTCACTTCCAAACACTTCGGGCGTATAATAAAATTGCTAAGCCAGAACTTTGGGGCGAACGGCGCTGGGAGTAAAAATAAACAAAACCAAAAAGGAAAAAAAAAAAAAAAAAAANCTCTCTTGAGTTTGGCTCACTTCCAAACACTTCGGGCGTATAATAAAATTGCTAAGCCAGAACTTTGGGGCGAACGGCGCTGGGAGTAAAAAAAAAAAAAAAAAAAAAAAAAAAAAAAAAAAAAAAAAAAGGGGGAGGGTTGGGGAGGAAAATGAGCTGAGCACTGTCCCAGCTGCTCAGTACTAACATCATTCTAAACCAAAGTTGTGTTCTGATTTTGCAGCTGTAGCTGGAGGTAGCTCCCAACAGCCGTACCTCGGCACTGCCAAGTCACTTGGCTTTAACTCGGCACGTTTGCAGGAAAGAACGCCACCTCCCGGGACTGCAAAGGCGCCCAGCTCCCGCGCTTCCCGAGCTCCCGTCCCAGCACGTCCGGCGGGAGTCCCGCCCACGCCCGTCACAAAATGGCGGCGGCGGCGCTAGGACCCCGCGGGCGCAAGGGTCCAGGCAAGAGGCGGGTCCCAAACGCTCCTGCCCTGCCCCTTGGTGTCCCCTGCTGTTATTGGAGAACGGCAACGTCAATCTCGCGCCTCCGCCTATCGCCAGCGCTCGTCTCCGGGCCCCGCCCCCCGCGGCCGGGCGCCACTTCTAGGGAAGTTGACGGACGGAAGCGGCGTTTGGAGCGCGGCGCTCCCGTGTTCTGTGGCCGCCCCGCCGCAGCCCCCGGTGCCTTCGAGCTGGAAGCGGCGGGGCAGTGGTACGAGCGGAGCCCGGAGCAGCAGCAGCAGGAGCGGCGGCCGCTCGACCCTTCGCCGCCGCCGCCGATGGAGGCGAGCCTGACGTGCGCCGTGTGCCTGTCGCTGTTGGAGGAGCCGGTGACGCTGCCGCTGTGCTCGCACAACTTCTGCCGGGGCTGCGTGCTGGAGTGCCTGGCCTCGGCCGAGGCCGCCCGCCTGCAGCAGCTGCAGCGCAGCCCGGGGCAGGCCCGTCTGGGCCGCGGGGCGCCGGGGCCGGGCCCGGGCCCGTCCTGCGCCCGGGTGCCGTGTCCTCTGTGCAGGAAGCTGTGCCTGCTGCCCCGCGGCGGCGTCGCCGCCCTGCCCGTCAACACCACCCTGGCCGAGGTGGTCAAGCTCTACCGGTCCGGCGCGGCGGGCGCCGCCGTGGCCGGGGAGGCGGCGCTGGGGCCGAAGCCGGGGTCCGACCTGCTCTCCCCGCAGGCGTTCGGGGGAAGCTGCCAGAAACATCCGAGCCGGCCGGTGCAGCTCTACTGCCGCATGTGCCGGCAGGCGGGGTGCGGGCAGTGCGTCTCCGAGGAGCATCAGGGCATCTTCCACTCTGTCAACCTCATAGACACGGTGTACCAGGAAGAAAAAGTAAGCGCGGCGCTCTCCGCTCTAGGGGCCTGGCTGGGAGGTTGGGCTGTCCCTTGGAGATCCCACCGGGCACGGGTTGTTTGTACTCAGAAAGACGGGAAGAACCGCGGGGTGCTGGGTAGGAGAGAGGCAGAGTGCTTGTGCTGCTTTGGGTCAGTAAGGAGTCGGTGGACTGCTGGGTTGTGCCTTTCCGGGCTGCCGTCAGACTGCAGCGCGCTCAGGGGACCAGGCGCTATTACAGCAGCAACAGATCTGAGCCCGATTTAACCGAAGGATCTGGAGAGTTATTTTGGGGTGATTGTCGGTGGTTTTGTGTTCTGTGGGTGTTTTTTTTTTTTGTGGTTGCTCTTTCATTCGTGGGGGGAGGGGTGTTGATGTTTGGTTTTGTTATTGTTGCTTCTTTAAATTCAGGAAGATCTAACAACTCCAAAAACTCACACACAAATGTTTATAGGCTCTGTAGCTGTGATAGGTAATTTGGGTCACACATAATTACATATTTAGGAATAGATAGTTTGGGTGCGTAATAATAAATGTATAAGCAAGATGCTTTGTAGTCTGGATAAGAGGGCAGCTGCCTGCCATAATGGTTGGTTGCCTGGTTGTAGAAGTTGTGATTTTTAACAAAGTAGGGACTATTTGGATAGAATGAGCTTTTCATGCCCTGTGCAAGTTGAGATGCAGAGTGTCAATTCTGTTGTGCAGTAATTGAAACAACTGCAAGGTAGTGATGAAAAGTACAAGTATGAAAGTTTCAATACAGCACTGACTATACTTTAAGACAAAAGTTGCTTTTACACTGATTTATCTTCTGTCTTTCCCATCAGCAATTGTATGTCACTTGGGAATCCAGGGGAAAACATCCTTTGCACTAGACATACTGCTACATAATGTAGTGATACTGTAGAGAGATAAAGGAGGAAGACTCAGTAATAATATTAGTTTAAACTCAAACAGAAATATATTGATTATGAACAACTCTCTGTTTTAGCAATGTGAGGCATAAAAATAAAACGTGAGTATCACACAGTTTTTTGCCAAACTAGAATAATACCATTAAATCTTATGTTGTGATAGATGTATGTGAAGGGAGGGGTTTAAAAAGCCTGAGGAAAACAAGTCATTCTATCAGTATGCATTGTAGGTGAGCCTAAGAACATTACATTGAGAAACAGCAGAAGAAAGTTTGTGCACTGATCCAGGAAAGCATTAAATGATGTTTTGAATCACAAGCTTTTTTACCATATTGTTCAGAATATCACAGAGTATAGGGTTGGAAGGAACCCTGGAGATCCTCCTGGCCAAACCCCTGCCAAGGGTCACCTGGAGCAGGTGACACAGAATTGTGACCAGGTGGGGTTTGAATGTCTCTGGAGAGGGAGGCTACACAACCTCCTTAGGCAGCCTGTTGCAGTGCTATTCCACCCTCAGTGTAAAGAAGTTCTTCCTCATGTTGAGGTGAAACTTCTTGTGGTTTAGTTTATCGCCACTGTTCCTTGTCCTGTCTTTTCAGAGGGCACCACTGAAAAGAGTCTGGCACCCTCCTTTTGGCACCTGCCTGTGAGATATTTATGTACATCAATGAGATCTCCTTTCAGTCTTCTCCAGACTAAACAGGCCCAGATCCTGCAGGCTCTCCTTATGAAAGAGAATGCTCTACACCCCTGATTATCCTTGTGGTTATCCACTGGACCCTCTTCAGTAGCTCCTTGTTTGTCTCAATCTGATTCTAGATAAGCACTGAAATTACTTATTTTATGGAAGGATAAAGTTGTAATTACGTGTTTTAATTGTCTTGCAGTTAACCTTCTTTAGCACTCTGAAACAAATGAGGATAATAAATGAGAAGCTGGTGAATGAGATCTCAAAACGACCAAATGATGCAGATGTGAGTTAGAAATGCTGGATATTATGTGTGCATGTCTTTAATTCTCTTCTAGTGATAGTTTATTCACAACCTGGAGCATACAGGTGCTCCTTGTGGCATAGATGTTCTCTGACCTTACTTAGAGAAGTCACTCTGTGTGGACATTGCTATTGCATTTACATCTTATTTTTGTGTTCTCGTGCTTCTAGATGATGCTGAAAAATGATGTGGAGATAATTGAGCTGAAATTTGGAGAAATTTTCAAAACTCTAGAAGCGAAAAAACAGAAATTACTGGAAGATGTTGAAAATCAAAGAGGTAAAAAAGAGAAAGAATTTCAGATTTGGAAGAAAATGAAAGAAACTCACAAGAAGACCATTGAGAATTTTTTGAAGGATTGTGAAAAGCTTGTCCATGAGTGTGATCCTCAGTGTTTCCTGGAGGTGATGGCATTTTGGTTTTGATAGCAATTGTCTAAAGACCTCAAATAGAGCCTACTGTATTGTAGACGATTATA